GCCAATGGCGATTATATTGCCAAGGTGTGCGTAGAGGGTTGTGTAGCATAAAATAAATTCAATTTTTGCAGCCTTCAGAATGCTCTGTTGTTCAGCGAAGACGGCAAAGATGTTTAGTCTATTTTTTGTGTTTGTATAATTCTACAGTATCCTTTTATCTCATCACAAAACTGTGGTTAAATCAAATTTCTATTGTCATTGCGATAAATTGCGATATTCAGCAGTGCAGGCATTCCGTTGAACAGCGGTGCAGGAAACATTGCCACAGTACGCCACCTTATAAAGTCAGTTCAGTAGTTGATATGAGGTGGAAAAATATAGCCTATATTTTTTTTTCTGAGAAGATTCAGTGCTTATTTTAAAGGGAGATCAGCTGTGCACAGTCTCTGCAGTCTTCAGTTAGGGGAAAAGACCCGAAAGGAAGTGCTCTTGTAGGAGGCAGGTCTAGCTTCACTGCCTTAATTGGTAAGGGTCTGTTCAACTTCTCCATATCTTTTAGCTGCTCCATCCATGTCTATTTTTTGTTGGGATTCTTTGCCATCCTGACCAGTACTGAACCGTTTAAGCAATTACGCAAATGCCCATCAAGGACTTAAATTTGGTCCCCTGCCTGATGAACTACTAACCTGATCCTCATGTATTACTCTAAGCTTAGAGGGCAGACATGTAGTACTAGAGTTTTGATTTCACCAACTTGTCATCTGTATCTTCACAGGAGAATCTGTGTCAGTAATCAAGCATACAGACCCTGTCCCTGACCCTCGAGCTGTGAACCAGGACAAGAAGAACATGCTCTTCTCTGTAAGTCAGACCTCTGATGACTGCTGTCAGCTTGTTATTTGTCGTACCTGATAATGCAGACCTTATTATTAGTTGTGCTCATATTTAGAGTTAGATTTTTTTTTTCTCAACTTCAAGTACAGTACCGTTCAAAAGTTTGGCCTTTTTGTTTTTTTTTATGTTTTTCAAAGAATCTCTAATGCTCACCAAGGCAGTATTTATTTGATTATAAATAGTTATATTGTGAAATATTATTACAGTTAAAAATAAATGTTTTGTATTTGAATGTATTTTAAAAAGTCATTTATTCCTGTTGAGAGAACCTGATTTTTCAGCCGCCATTACTCTAGTCTTCAATGTCACATGATTCTTCAGGATTCTTCAGAAATCATAGTAATGATTCTGATGAATCATTCTGATTTGCTGCTCAAGAAACATTTCTTACGGTCATTAATGTTGAAATCATTATTTTGTATTTTTTATTAAAAAAAATTCAGGATTCTTTGATGAATAGAAAGTTCAGAAGAGCAGCATTTATTTGAAAAGCGATTATTTTTTTCATGTTACGGCTGATATTAAAATGTATACCGTGTTGTCTAAAATAAAAATGAAAATTATAAAAAAAACTAATGATACAGGCATCACAACGTTATAATACTAATTTAAAAAATACATTTAAAGTGTTATGAAATTATGAATGCTTTTAAGGTGACCTATAAATGACGGCAAGGGTAATCTAAATGTAAATATAAAGCAAACAAGCTGTGAAATTTCCAATTAAAAAACTAATATATTGTGCATCTTTATTTGCATGGTTCAGGACTATTTTTGTTTCTAGAAAACTTTTAGATATTACATTGCTTATATTGAATATGGTCATAATTTATAGCTTTAAAACTCACCTTTGACTTCATGTTTACAGGGTACCAACATTGCAGCAGGCAAAGCAGTGGGCGTAGTGGTCGCCACGGGCGTGAACACAGAGATTGGCAAAATCCGTGATGAGATGGCATCCACAGAGCAGGAGCGCACGCCGCTGCAGCAGAAACTGGATGAGTTCGGCCAGCAGCTGTCTAAGGTCATTTCGCTCATCTGCATCGCTGTGTGGATCATCAACATCGGACACTTCAACGATCCCGTTCACGGTGGCTCGTGGATCCGTGGGGCTGTGTACTACTTCAAGATCGCGGTCGCATTGGCTGTGGCTGCCATCCCCGAAGGCCTGCCCGCCGTCATCACCACCTGCCTGGCTCTGGGCACCCGTCGCATGGCTAAGAAGAACGCCATCGTACGCTCTCTGCCCTCAGTGGAGACCCTTGGGTGCACCTCCGTCATCTGCTCGGACAAGACCGGCACCCTGACCACCAACCAGATGTCCGTTTGCAGGGTAAGAATGCTGGGAATATTGTAGCCAATGGAAGTGAACTTTGGTGAGCAGCTTCAGGGCTCATCAAAGAGGAAATAATAACTTACAACCCCTGGCTATTACAAATTCTGTTTAGCCCATGGTTTCAACCCTTGGCAATAGGGAGTCTGTTATTGTTTAGAAATTTGCAGGCTGGGGTTCAGCCAAGAACCAAGAGCAATATTACTGCAGACAATTGGCTGAAAATACTCATGAATAAAAAAAGGAACATTCATGATGGTATTGATTTAGCACTAGTACATGTCTTACATTGGCTTCAAACAAAAGTCGTGGGAAAACTGTTCAACTGCAGCTTTGATATTGGCATGATTAATTTTGTTTGATCTTTGCGTTCCTCATGATCTTGTGTTGGACCACCCCAGGTTGCCTCTGGATTTCCTTTCATGTTGTTTTCCTGTTTTCAAAGGACAACATGGTTTATTTCTCTCTTTCTCCTCTCAACTTTTGTCATCCCCCTCATCTGTTCTTCTCTCTTTCTTCTTTTCCAGCTTTACTGTGAGAGCTGATCAGTATGCGGTAGTCAGTTACTTGCAGTAGTGTTGCATAACTGACCTTGTCTGTGTGAGATCTGTCTGTGATCCACAGCAGTGCCTTCGCTGTGGGCTGTATTGTACACTCATGCAAGCCAAATGTGTGGGGCTGCTGATTTCAATCCGTTTTCTGCCTGTAAAGTGGTTGACGTTAGGCTTGTTTTTATTCTTAATAGAGATGAGTTCAAATAATATTATGCTTGATTTATTCTGTGAATGCTCAGGAGGTGGCTAAACCAAGATATTTTTTCCCCTAAATGTCCCGTTTGCCTATATGGGAAGGGTGTCTAAAATTAGCAGCGTTTCAACAGAAGGAATGTAATCGTATTAACCCTAACCCTAAGTATTAAACTTGTACTCGTATTAAACATGCAAGTCGTCCTGCACCATTTCCGCTACAGACACACATGATACTTCTACTCTTGCATCTGACTGAGGTGTCATTACCTTTCTAAGAGATCATATGTACTGGTCGACCGATATGGATTTTTGATGTTAATGCTGAGAGCAAGGTGGCTGATATGTACAACATACATTTAATTTTAATGATAACACATGCTGCAATGAAATTTATATTTATTTTACATCATATTTACTAAAAAAAGAATTGAAAATGAGTCGATATAAAAAAATGTATTTTGAAAAATTAACCATGTAAAATAAACATAAATTTTTACTTTAGATAGAAATCGTATTTTTTACAAATAAATAAATTATTTAAAAAAACATTAACTAAAAAGAAAGTAAACACAGTAAGCAACCGTGCACAATGCATTGATAAATGCATTTAGTACTGTCAGAATAAAAGTCCCAGTGCTGTCAAAATTACAGTTCTAGTTCAGCCAAGCAGAAAGATTTTGGCCAATGCCAATAATAAAAATAAATAATGCTAAATATTGGCTGATATATCGGCCTTGGTAGAATGTAAAATGTGGTTGAAAGCCACAGAAATGTTTGATTTGTTAGTGAACTGTTCTTTTGAGTCTGTTCCTTTAGTGAATCGTTAAAACCTGTTCTGGTTTCAAAATGTTTTGAATGATTCATTAGAGACTCGGAAAAGTGCATGGAAACATGCTAAAAACCACATGGCAAAGCCATGGTAATCACTCACAACATTTAAGCATCGTATCAGCATGTTTTGCCACCCAAGCACCTCTAGCTTTTTCTTTAGAAAGTGTTAACTAGTTTAATTTTTCTATCACGTTTTTCCGTTTCTCACAATAGCTTATATCAGATATGTTTCATGTTAGAGTTAATTTGCTAATCATGCCTTGTTCTCCGCAGTGCCCAGTGCCTTCGAGATTAATGCCTGTCTCGCTCTCTCTCCCCCACACACGCGTCTGTCTCCCTCTTTCCAACTCTTGTCCACTGGGTTTTAGCACTACAGCAGGAACGCTGTTCCACATTATCATCCCACTCGCGCTCATCTCTTTTATTCTCTTCTCTTTCTTGACAAATCCGGGGGATCTGGTTGTCTTCTGTGCTTAAAATATACTTAATGCTCCTTTGCTTATGTTTCAGGAATTTTGGAGGGGTTTTAAAGCCCCTTTGAAGTCAGGTTAAGTGAGTGTCATAAAGTGTTTACATCCTTGTATATCCAGGTCAGGTGGAGTAGGGATGTTTTCATGAGATGCTGTCAAACATCAGACATGTTCTGTAGCAGATTGTTCTGCCACCTGCTGGTAAACATTTTGTTTGATAAAAAATTTTTTTTGTTGCAGATGTTCATTGTTGATCAGGCAAATGGAAACAGCTGCTCTCTCAAAGAGTTCACCATTACTGGCTCCACATACGCCCCTGATGGACAAGTGTGAGTTT